CTTCACTGCAGCTTTGAATACCCACAGTGTTCAAAACGGAAAGGTGGCTTTCAGTTGTGGGGCATCAGGGTTTAGAGAACCTTTAGGCATGTTAGTTAATTCTTGCAAAGATGGAACTTGCACCTCCTGGCTGCATTAAGTAATGCCTTACTCCTGGAGTCATCACATTGAAAACAGTGAAGAATATATACATTTTAGAACTGGCATTTTTAAATCTTAAAAAGGAAATAACAATAGATTTCCATTTACCATTTCAGTGATAACAGATCAGTATAAAATAAACCTTAATTTTCACAATTTTGCATGTGTCTTTGGAGAAAAGTTCAAACTTTTATATTCAAGGGAATATAAATCATTATAGGTTGCATTTTGTATACAAAACTACAATACAAAAAAAAAACCACCACCACTTAAATTTAGAGACTGATAACTTTCTTGCAACAGGTCCATATTCCATCTCTGATGGGAATCAAATTCTTTTTCAGTCACTGCATGCTCATTTTCAGTACACAACTTTTTAATTTAGAATTGACCAGACTCAGAGAGATCATATGTAAGCAATATGTTATTTTCTTCTTTTTGGATCATCCCATTGAATAATTCCCTAGAGATGCCATTTTTTTCCCCTTCAGTGAATGTGGTGGTCCTGCTAACATTCATGGACAGGTAACGAGAGGACAGGATAAATTCACCAGTTTTATCCAGCTGTACTATGACAGCACATCACCTCTCCTTAGTATCTAAATGCTGTTCTCTATCCTATAGCAGTTTGGCAAATTTGGCTATGCCCAGGGCTGTTATCTCCATCTATCCTCCCAATAATTCTGGGCATTTTCTGCTTCTGTCTCAGTCACTGATATTCAAGGTAAAATCTTGGGAAAAAATGAAACTTGGTAAAATGAAATCTTCAGAATAATAAGCTTCCAAATCCTGCATGTATATTTAATAGTTGGTTGCCCATGAGTAATGAGCAATATGCATTTGCAAGATTTACAAAATCCCTAGCAAAACCCAAAACAAAACAAAACAAAAATAAAACCAAAACCTGTCAACCATTCTGTGATCAAATGAGTAAGTTCAGGTATATCTGGAGGTATGCCCCAGGATAAAAAACCTGGAAACGCAGGGCTCCTACCAAGCTGGATAGCTAGATAGCTGAAAGTGCTTTAGCTCTCCTGCGTAGTCATTTGTTTAGGTTTGAAAATATGGGTTGGAGTGCTTCACTCGAGGCACACCAGCTGGCCAAATTGCATCAAGATAATCTAGTTCCTCATTATATAAAATAAAGGCAGTTATCACCCTCTGTTTTGCTGTTAGAAGCACATTAAGAAAACAGCAGCCCTGTGCAGTGAAGAACACATGCTGACATTTGCATGGGCTCCAGCTTGCACCCAGTCTTCAGTGCCTCTGCTCAGCCTCTCTGTGGCCTTCTGTGCAGGCTTTTTCTTTTTAATCACTTAGCTGTTTCACAGCCTTGTTTGCCTGATGAAAGAACCTTAAATCATGAAAATGAGTCTCAACCCTTAACATTTCCATGCTCAGCCCGGACAGCTCCACTATCACCCCCCTCCATTTCCTCACTCTATCCCTTAGATGGGGATTAGTGAATCTCTCTTTAAGGCACCTCTTTATACCCTACCCCTTCCTTCTCTACCTAAAGAAAGGAGAAATCATCTTTTCACACTATTATTATTGGTAGTAGTAGTAGTAGTAGTAGTATTTTCCTTATCATTCTCCCATTTCTCAGTTTCATGACAGTTTCAGGCTGATGGGGCAGCGTGCTTGTCATTTCCTTTGAAGCATGATGCCCAGTGTAAGCTGACAGGCTTGGTGCCATCAGAGAGAGTGGGATTGCATTCCTGTGTAGGCACTGGTGGTGGAAAGTATGATATGTTCCTCAGATGTGTTTTTTTTAAATTAAGAATTAAACCTTTTGGAACATGTTGGACCCAAAGGTCCTTTTTATGGCAATTATCATTAAAATAACACATCCTCATAACAATCACTAAAGACCCACCCTAATTTTTATGTTCTTTACATATTTATTACAAACGTATTAAATTTCAGCCATTATTTAATAAATAGGGACCATTTTTATATTCTTAAGTCCAGGCATTTGCTACCGACCACACTTAGGAGACATAAATAATGAAAATAATATCAGTGGACTGACAGCCACTACAAGGTGGGTTTTTTCTGAGAGAAGAAAAAGGCAGAAAGAGAGGGTCTAAACAGAAGAAAAGAAGCCCTGTAAAGCAGGCATGTTTATCCTTTCTCTTAACCTTCTTTCCCTTTTCCAGAGAGTGCTTTGCAAACGGTTCTGGCACAAAGGAGCAAAGCAGCTACCTTTGTTTCCTACCTATCTGCTCCTCTTCTCCTCCTCCCTCTTAGACCAAGAGGAAATGTGCTGGAGAATTCTCATAGCCTCTAGCCTCCTGAAAACCTCTTCCTACTCCCCAAAACAGTGGTCAGCAGTGGCAGGATAGAGACAGTGAGAAACAGCACTTTGCCTTCACAGATCCTTGAAATATGGCTAGGGCTGAAAAGCTGTTGTAACTAAAGAGCAAGCACATATGTGAGAGCTCATTTGAATAAGCTTCCCTTAGAATAGTCACGTGCCATCCCTATTTGTAAGCATTTTTTTATTTTACCATTATTTTGCCACTGTTAATAGCCAGTGCCACCAGGGTGAAGAGCAGAACATTGTGTGCATTTCAAACTGTGATGAAACCCATCTAATTCAGCAGCAGCTCAAGTGTGCTTCACAGCAAATAGCCCAAATGCCAAGGAGATGTATTGACAGTGGAGCTAATTTCCTCTGTATCAAGATTGTTTTGATAACTTGGTCCTTCAGGAGCTAGAAATCATGAAGTGGTTCTTCTAACTGAATGGTTTTAACCAAAGGTCATTTCTCTCCTTGTCTAGGGTCCTGTGGATTTATTCTGTAACAGGAGAGTGGGTATATCCGCTCTTTGCTTTGTTCAGCCCAGCCGGGCTAGCAGCCTTCTTTGCCGTTAGCGTTGCCATCATCATCTCTTTCTACAACTTCGGGGAGTTCCTCAACAGCGTTATATGGGGTCAGTCCAAGTTTTGTTTTTCACTTCTATCTATATGAAAAAATATCATCTAAATGAATTCTTGTGATTGCCTAAGCAGGTAGGAAAGGAATCTCAGAATGGTTTGGGTTGGAAGGGACCTTAAAGCTCATCCAGTTCCAACTCCCTGCCACAGGCAGGTGCACCTTCCACTAGAATAGGTTGCTCAAAGCCTTGTCCAACCTGGAAGGGGACCCTTGTACACTGTGGGTGTGGTATTTGGGTGTCTGCTAGAGATTGATAGGTCCTAACCAGTTAATAACAAAGAGACAACAAATTGGAGCAAGAATCCCAATCCCACCAGATACAGGGCCAGGTTTCACAAATGTGGCTCAAGAAACACCACTTAACAGCATAATCACTGGAATTTGAATTTCTTCTCAAACAAGGTTCCAGAGGAACTAAATCTCTCTGGCTGAAACTTTTACACCTTCATTATGTGGTGTTTGTCAAGGGAATTGCAATTTACTGACAATTTATAGGAAGGCATTAGTGTATCCCAGTGAAAGCATCACAGCACCTCTGTGGGTAAAACAGCACTTCAGAAAGTTTTACAAACTCTTGAGAACATCTGCCTTCTACTTTGGTAGTGGCATAATCAGTGGTGATTTAAAGAAAATGAAAGGCAGCCTCCTTGGACAAATGGGCAGTTAGAAAAAGAAAGTAGTTTAGGAGGACACGTTCAACAAGTGAAAGGAAGGAATAAACAACTGATGAAGCAGCTTTGGTGGTTTGGCATAGGGTTATATTATTATAATTATTATTATTTCTCACCTGGTTTCCTCTCTCCCTTCTCAGTCAAGATTATGGTTTTGAGGATGAAAGTGTTTCCGTCAGGAAAACGCATGTATTTTATTTAGGACAAACGTGTGAACATTTGCAATTTCTTACACTAGCTTTCTGATGAAAGAAAAAATGCTGCAAAAACACCTCTGAAAATAAATAAGACAACTTCCCTCTGTTCTCAGGGAACATTTAATGCCTGATGCATTTTGTGAAGTCTCACATGCCTGTCAAGCCAAAGCAGAGCGTCTGTAGCTAGTCTCTCACCATTCGTACTCTCAGCTACCTAAAAGCAGCAGATTGACTTTCAAATGTGCTGAATAACCAGCTTCACCGCTTGATACCTTTGCAAATAAGATGCTTGCTCTACATGTCCATGTTTGGAAATTTTGGCTGAATTCTATTCTTGCATAAATGTGATACAAAATGAGGATTGCTGGTAAATGAAAACAGATCCTGCACTAGCTCTGTTTTCAGAGGCATCACATAAACAGTAGCTATTACTAATCAAAGACCACATCATCATAAGACAATATAGGTCTTTGCATAGCTTATACATCTAGGTGTCAGATTTCTTCATCACTGAGTACATAATAGTAATTTCAGGCCTAGAGTATGCCTAAATTGGAGATGCGTAAGTTGGAGATAATCAGAATGAAATTAATTTGATTTGCAAGGTGTTAATCAATTGGGCAAAAGGTCATGCCAAGCAGAGATCAAATTAACTGCACAAATTGGACACAGTTTGAACAGCTGACTAAATATGCCCACTTAAGAGATGTTAATTTAAGAGCTTTCTAAAGAAACTGGGACAAACACTCAGCTTTCTTTTCTGTGCACAGAGAAAGGCTGAAAAGCATCCCCCAGTTGTGATAGCACAAACGTTATCTCAGAGAATATATATAAACACAGCATACACAATATCCTCCACAGGTATCTGGTGTGCTCTTGCAATCTATGGAGAACTCCTGTGTGTAGTGGGTCTGCCTCTCCATACATACTTCATATTTTTCAAAGGATCCACAAAATCATGGCCTTAACAATTACACAGTGTTTTCATCCATGTGTGGGACACTGCGCTGAGTTACATTTCCCCATGTTTGTGCTGCTTCACATGCATCCTCAGCTCTTCACCCCCAGGACTAGCAGCATTCCCTGGATTTGTTGTGCACTGATAAAAGAAGTTTCAAGCTGTACCCTGATACCTGGCAATCCACAGTATCTGAGGCTATAGTTTGATTGTATGGGAGCTTTGGCAGCAATAACTTCTCAATAAGCTCCTGCCTACTACCCCTCACTCCCTCTTATTCTACTACGCACGCCTGTTTCATAGAATCATAGAATAGTTTGGGTTGGAAAGGACCTTAAGATTATCTAGTTCCAACCCCTCCTGCCATGGGCAGGGATACCTCCCACTAGACCAGGTTGCTCAAGCAAGGTTTCTTGCAAGCAGAGGCTGTTTTCAACACTGTTTTTTTTTTCCTGACCCATTTCTCAGCTGTGTCCACCCAAGAGAAGGGTAGGACCTCCTTAAGCTGTATTGATAACAAGGCCACAATAAATATTGAATCACAGCCAGAGGGAAACTATTTGAAATTACAGTGTGCTGGAGTCTTAATAAGTTCCTGACTGAGATAAATCTTTGGCTCAGCATTGCCAAAGTAAAAAGAGCTGCAAACTGAATGAAGACATGATTCCAACATACCTCTCTTCTCACAGCAAAAATGGCTCCACTTTTTTTCATTCTACCCTTTCTTGTATCACCTTCCCATCACAATAACGGAGATGATGCAGTTAAAACAACCCTGCAGAAAGAAAAAAAGCAAACCACACAAAGCAAAACGATTTGTGGTGGTAGAAGACAAACCTCTCCATCTCTCCAGACCCTCCACCCTGTCCACCACAAAGGGTATGTGGAAGGGCACTTCTGCCCTCTCTTCTGCTTCCTGCTTGGTCCCCCAAAGGCACGGTTTGAGTTACAGTAATGCAATTGTCCAGTAGGTTCCTATAGCACATCTGGAAACACCTTCTCCACTAACACCCATAGCCACCAAGCAATTGGACCTGATGCTGGCAGCATCTACCAGGCAGAGCACCTTATCTGGGCTGCTCTGACCAGGCTTCTACCCAAGGGGAAAGGCTCTGGGGAGGCTACTTCTCTTTCCTTCCCACTTGAAGGAAGAAAGCTAGCTGAGTTTGTGGCCAGGTAAGTTGTGTTTAGTCAAAGGTGTGAGAAGTGATTCACAAATAGCTCCACATGAATGGCAAGCCTGGTTTCCTTTTGGATTTACATCCTGTGGCAGACTTCAGGCCACAAATGAAACTTGTCCCACAGCATACCATGCTTTATATGGGCTCTCTTTCATGTTCCTTTATAGCTTCAGGCCACTACCACTTGTCCTAAAAACAGCTACGTAAATATTTACTCTTTTTCACCCTTAAAGGTATATTCAGGTCCAACTTATTCCAAAGTCTATGGATGGCAGCTTTCCACTTCAAGCAAGTAATTTTTAAAGCGGTATGTCCAGTGCTTGACCAAAAAGATGCAGTATCATTTCTGAGAGCTGAAAAATCCAGGCTGTCAAATAATATAACCTTGTTTTCCCTTTTCAGAATAACCAAACAATGTCAGACCCTAAATTTCTTCTATTATTTATAGATGAATTGTTTCATACAGTATTGGAGGTTTTAAAAATGTATTATCTCTTATGTGCCTCTCCCTCCCCTTGCACAGTTGGATTGGTGGTAACTAAGGCAACCCAGCTGCATAGCCTGAGAGGCACAGAAAATAGTACCAGTAATGACTTTTTTTTTGCTTTAAATCCCAGAGTTTCTAGAGTACTAGACCATGTTGAGCAATACAGAAACTCCAAAGAGGATAATTTGAAACAGTGGGCTGATTCTTTTACTGCCATAAATTCACCTCAGCCAAGAATTTGGCTACAGGGTCTGAGTACCAAAGAGGAACCGTGCGATAGATTCTCCTGTTCCCTAATGGGCAGAAAAAACATACAGGCAACTGATCTCATGTTACTACAGTCAAACTAGAACACTCACAAATAAAGCAAAGCCGTTTTCCCTTGCGTTTTATTCCTGGTGAGACAACCAGATCCTCAGGAGAAATTTGGATCAAAGTTCTCCACATCAGACAGAGCAACATTTCAGATGAGGTCTCTTCCCTGTCACCAGCATTTGAAGACAAAGCAAATTCATTTGTCTTCCATCTAACTCACCTGGAAAAAAAAAACAACAGAGAACAACATTCAGCAGCTGTTTCAGCTCAATAGTTTGAAATGCAGCTGGATAGGAGCTGTAGCTAGCAACAAATACCCACTGCACCAGTGATTTAAATACCTGCAGAGAGACACTGGGCAAACCTCTTGCAAGATTTTACATCCACAAGGCCTCTGCCAAGTCCAGAGAAATGCTCATCTCCATGTGATGGAATGGGGCAGAACAGGAGGCTAGCTCTAAGAGCTTGCAGCAGCTCCAACAGATCCATGCCTTGATGCTCATTGACCTTCAGAGGAGAAAGCTTTGGTCAGCAGCTGGCTAGGAAACACTGGGGACAAAGCCAGAATTACAGATATTGTAAAGCATGGGATAAAGCAGTACAACAAGAATAAGAGCTATTATTCCCAGGAAAAAAGAGAAAACTTATGGTGGAATAATTGCACCTGCCCAGTGCACAGATGAATGTGCTCCTCCAGATCTTCTACAGGCTCTTGAATAGGCTCTTGAATAGCCTGTGAAGCCACTGCTGAAACATATTCACCTAAAGCTGAGCTAAAGTTAGATGGCAGTCTTCTTTGTGGAGCACTTCTACATTAAATGAATTTTCCAGAAATGTATAACATGTTTTAGGAAACAATTTTTTTTCCCTGGGTTTTATTTTTGTATTTATGTGCCTCTGAAACCAAGCTCCCTTAATACCCTGTAGTCAGCTTTTGGGAAACCCAGCCTACGTTGACAGCACATGAATCTGTCTAATACAAATACTATAATACGATTGAATTCTCAATGCTCTCATTCTTCTGAGCAGCTGTTGAGATTGCAGAAACTCGAGTGGCAAATAAAGTGATGCAAAGGGCAACTGTGTGAGATATATTTTACCATTGTCCTGGCACAGTGGTTTTGCATGAATGTGAAAATGCTCATGTTCTGCAGATAGTTATTAATGCAGATACAGGTTCTACCCTTTATTATTACAGCGTCCAGAAGGGATCTTTAAACTGAGCCTCTTTTCAAGAATATAACTTCATTTGTTCTATTGTGCCTTTGAAAACAAAGAATAAAAGTCCAGGGTGTATCTATTTCTTTCAGTGAACAAATAATATTTATATCTACAATTTCAGTATATTGCCAGTGACAAATGGAACTCAAATTTAAGAGGATTTACAGCCCAGAATTTGCAAACTAAATACAAATACCTGCTTTTGTCTCATCCATTCATCCTAGTTGTGCCACAAACCTGTGATGGCATATTTATATCCTTTATATTTGTCACTCCCCCAAGCTGCAGTTACCCCTCGGGTAGAGGAGTCTAACTATTTAAAGGAAACCTGTGCCATCTGTCACACACCCTGCTCTTACTGACAAGTTTATCTGATGATGCACTGGAGGCAGACAGGATCGGAAGCCCTGGCAACCTAGGGCTTACAGTTTCATCACTGAAGGCCAGACATTAACAGGTGCTTGCTAATATGTTGTCCCTGACCTAATAAGATAGTCTTTTTTTTTTCTACCCAATCTTTAAAATATATATGTGGTCAGTGCAAAATACATACAGGATCCTTTGGGAAGGAAGAAATGCCAGGATTTTACTCCATACCAGGTCAATTAACAAACGCTAGGCAGGCTGGAGATAAATAAAATACAGCAATTAGTGTTTCAGAGCCTCTGAGGTTTATGGACAAGGAAAGCACAGGGTTCCCTGTGCATAAATGATCGTCAACAGGAAGACTGAGGCCATGTATTAGATTAGGTACACTTGGTGTGCCCCATGGCAGTATACTGGGTCTCTAGGTGGTGCTTCTGAAAGCTGTGGACCTGCAGTAGGCCCTGCACTGTACTGGCCAGCCATGTGAGGATGCTCCAGACATCTCAGATGCAGGGATTAATGATCAGCTGTCTTTCCAAACAAGCTTTATTTTTAAAGTTTTTCACATATTCTTACACCAAGCTAGGTTTGTTTGGCAGCATATACTTTTTCCCATTAACAAAGCACCATTATTCTCAATGGATGTGGTCATGTTAGATTTCAAATCATTCCTCAGTAGCAGAGTAATCCTTTACTTGCTAGGGATGCCTCAGGCTCATTCAACATCAGCAGCTGGTCCAAGCCATAGCTTACTCCCACTCCCAGGTGGGTTCGGTTTCCCAGGGATGTTGGGAGGCTGGGGCCAGGTTCACATCCTCCTCCCAACAGTGTATCTGATCTGTAAAAGGACTTCTCTATTGTGCTTTTTTTTTTTCCACCCCATAATAATCTCTTCTCCTCTGCCTCCAAACAGGAGATTCAATAGTAATACTGGACTACAGGCAGAAAGGCAAGTGAATCCTCCTCTTAGAGCCAAACAATCTCTCCATGAACACTGAAGCCATGAAGTAGAGGAAAATAAATGCAGCTGTGATAAATCCTTTCTCCAATTCATTGCAGTTTCTGGTGAAGCCATTATGTCATCAGACATATGGAAAACTAGTGGAAAATATGAAATGTTTGCCTCTTACATGATAACTCTGCAACTTCTATGAAAAGAAAATTGTGTTCGTCTGTTTACACAAGTTTCTCATATCTTGCACAATGTATGTGAGGATGTGTCCATGGTTAAAACTCATCACTGGTAAATGAACTCCCTCATGAGCTTGGCACTACTCTCTAAAAGACCTGTGAATGCAAGCCAGCTCTTGTTTGGATTGCCCTTCATCAGGTCTGGAAAAAATTAAGAAGAGGGATAATTTTAACAGTGCTGTGACTTCCAAGCTAGCTAGATAACAAATTGGGCTAACAAGGACTGTAATTAGGAATGTCTGCACAGTTCACCATGGAGCCAAGTTCTCCTAACGAGAAACTTTCTGGGATATTAATATGCATAATATCTCCCTTCCATTTTAACAGGAAATCTGAATGCAATACTTTCTTCCTTTTTCTTGGTTTCAGTTAATCTTGCAGCAGAAGTAACCTAATTATACTGAGAGTATGATTGCTTTGACAGAAAGCATGTTAATTTAAAGCACTGTTTAACATAAAGCTGCTTGCCATATAATTACACTCCATTCACGTTTACTAATCTACTTCAATATAGTTGATTTCTGTTATTAGCCTCAACATTTTGTTAACATCTAAAACACTGGAGATCTGCTTTGCAAACTCCAATAAACAGGCAAAACCAACAGTAGCATAAGTGTTCCTTAATGGTCAATGTGAAAAAGAAAGATCTCTGTTATTAGCCTTGCATTTAAAAGAGGATTTGAAACTAGTTCCAGTACTTAAATGTCTAACTCCATCTTCATTGCCAAAACCCTTAGCTTAGAGCTACTGTGTGTGCAGTTCACCGGGGTGTTATTTTCATCTTCCAAATGCTGCTGGAGCTTAGTAAAAATGAAACACATTGTAAGCTGCCTGTGAGCAATAAAAAGATAATGTGTATACATAAGATTGTTCTTTTCACATGTTAAGCACCTGATAAAATTCTAGTCTGGGAAGTTAACAGACTAGGGCTAGACTGTAAGCTAACTCAATGAAAGATGTGCATGCATCCAGTAATTCTCAGCTTATCTAGATAACTCACTCCAGCTAACTTTGCAAGGGGAATGTAAGCAATTATGTGGGCACACCACTCCCCCCCCCCCCCCATCTTTTTCTGCTGAAACTAAAGGAGAACATGGAAGGAATACACTTTAAAGATGCTGGTCAAAGGAAATATTTCAGAGACAAACAGTGAAGAAAAAAATCAAGGGAATTAGGGAAGAGGCAACTCTGAACAGTTTTGTTGTTTTTTTTTACCTCTTCTAATATTTTGGTTTTTACTGGTCACAGAATCACAGAACTGTTGAAGGGACCTAAAAGGTCATGTGGTTCCAACCCCCTGCCATGGGTAAGGACACCTTCCACTAGCTCAGGTTGCTCAAAGTAACCCACTGTAAAAGCTTAAATGTCAGAAACTCAAAGTAGAGCCTGGGACCTGACATGGAGGGGTAGCTCTTTCCATGTCTGATCTGAACAGCAGATCTTGTCCTTGACTCCCACTTGTGCCAGGGTTACCTTCTGGATCTAGTGAGGTGACTGTGCTGTTGAACTACAAGGGGTTTGAGGAGAATCGTACGTGTGTGTGTTTCTTTGTTTAAAAAGGACTCAGAAGAGGCACTGCTTTTTGCTGTGGAGAAGCTGGATCCCAGTCATGCTCTTTGGGAAAGCAATCAGGAGTGCCTGCTCCCAAAATACAACTGATGGGATCTTGGGTTTGCTTTGCTCCTTTCTCTGGTGCACATGAAGCCCTGTAAGGAAGAAAGCATGCACCTGTGTTGATTGCAATCCGACACTGATTTCAGAAAGACTTTACTGCGGTACTCTGAGTGAGGATCTGGCCTTTATGACGTTTACACTAGATTCCTCCTTCCAGCCCATTTCTCTGGTTTTATTTTGAGCAAGCATGTGAAGTCAGTCAGAACTGTTTATTTATAGCTGTAGATTTTCATGGCTGTATAAATTAGATGTTATTACTGAATGAGATGCCCGCCCACTCTCCCAGCACAGCTGTACAGGAATCCTTTCATGCTGCTCTACAGTACACAGCCTTAATCGGGAGGAGAACGACATGCTCCCTGTCAGACAGAAGGACCGCTGTTTAAACCCTCCAGTGAAAAACAGCAATTAATATTTTCCACAGTACAACGTACGATATGACAGCCACAATTACCTAATACTGTTTAGACCTGCCACTTTTGTTCGGCAGAGAGAGAAAATTAAGGTTTACATTCACCAGAGTAAAAAACCCCGCTCAAACTAGAACCTACGCCTGGACTTTTTTTTTTACAAGATCAAGTGACTTTTCTCCAAAGGGAGAGAGTGGGACAGGGACAGTCAGGGAAAACAAAAGCAAAATCGGTTGTTATTTGAGACAGAAAATAAGAACTTCTCCCATAGCCACACAGACAGCTATTTCCAGCAGAAACAGCTGGAAAGCAATATCCACCATGATTAGGAGCTTTCATCTTAGCTCACACCTTTCTAAGTTTACTCCCACAAAACAACATAGGCAAGTGATAATTTATTCCCTCCCCAATTTCCCACACAAATTTCTTGGTCTGGGTCTCTGCCAGAGCTTCAGGGTCATGATCTGACCTCAATAACATAATTTAGGATTGTTCCAAGGCTTCAGTGGAACTACTGAAGATTTACTTTGATGGATATGGGGCCAGGATCTGGCATGTAGAAAATATGCATTTACGTTCTACCAAAATGTCTAAAATAGTTGCCCATAGAGGCTGAAATTCAAATTGAGACCTTGTATTCACTTGGCAGAGCACATAATTAAATATTTTATGCCACAAAATTAACCAGAGTCTCATGGGTATTGGTAGAAGGAAGCTTAGAATCAACCATGAGAGCCAAACTAAGACCTATTTCCCAGGCAAGTTATTCAGTAAATATTGGAAAAAGTCATTGCATTCATATATATAGGTTCATGATAATTTTTGTTAGTATTTAACCTTACTGATTATCTGATTACTTCAGAGGAAGAGGTTATTGTCTATGTGGATTTGTATAAATAACCCCAACATCAAGTTCTGCTCTTGAACTAAAGCTACTGCTTTCAGCTAAGAACTGTCTGCAATTAAATTAACTGTTTGGAAAAAACATCAGGTAAAAACCAAACACAATTACAATAGGCAAGACTTCGTAACAAGTGGTAGAGAGCTCCAAAGTAAAATGTTTGCCTTTTTGAAGTCCCCAAAGGCCCTACCTTGCAAAGAGTTTGATGCTTCTGAGAAGCAAACCAAATACCTAAGGTATTTCATGTCAATACACTTTAGTTTAACTTCCAGACATCAGTGTTTAAAAACATGGGTTTGAGTAAAACCTCCAGGATATGGCCCAATAATACTTCTCAGCCATAAAACGTACGAATAGTGCTTGGCGTTTCAAATATCACCTTCTATGAAATGCTCCCAAAACATTTTAGCAAGCTTTTGAGTTCCTTTTGCCTTGAGAGGATAATTTCCCCTGCTGCTCAGAAAGAAGCACATATAAAAGAAATATCTTTTTGCCAATACCTGAAACAAACAGAACTACCTCCTCTGAGTACACGTTTTCGCTGTTAATAAGTGCTGTATTCCTTGAGGAGAAGAGCCAGAAACCTACTTATACCAGCACATACCTGCTTTTTGTTTTGGGAGGTTCATTCAAGTTTGTGACGTGGGAGCCACCGCGATGATGCCATCTTCAGCTGGCAGGTGAAACACATTCATCACATAGTCTACTAACACTGGTGTGCTGCAACACACTGCCAGTTCTGCCCGTGTTTGGAAACACCACTTTTTCCCCCACATGAGGATGAGGAGCTCCGGTAGCAGTGTTCCTGGCTCTGACACAGGGCAAGGGCACACTGCACAGTGCATACATGAAGGGAAAGGGTCGGCCTGTGAAGAGTTCAGGTGCCCATTTTAGAGACTGTGCTGCAGAGGTGACTGATCCCAGGCTCAGATGTGACCGTTCCCATGGCAGAGGCAACCAAGTGGGCATCTTTACTGGCGGAGCCCACACCCGGTGCCTGTGAGGACATGGCTTTTCTCATCCAGCAAATCACCTTTCCCAGCCCTGGTTAGCAGTGGGAACTGCCAAAATAATGGGAACAGCCTCAGCTCCCAAGTCAGAGCTCACACACGCTGCAGTTACGCGACAGCTATGTGCAAACATGGCATGGCTGCAGCAGGTTTCAGCGTGCCCAAGCATTGGTGCTAAAGTGCGACATGGGAGCAAATGGAGAGGAGAAGAGGAGCTCTGTGCTTAAGCACTTTCTTTTATCAAGTGTTTCTAGATGCTGACAGAGAGAAGGACCAATGTGGAAGCATGCCTCTGGGAGGGAAGAAACGCACTTTGAAGCGGGGACATTGCTACCACTGGTCTCTCACGCTCCATTCGGAAGAATAGACCGAAATCCAGCACCTCGGTTCCGCGGAAGGTTCTGAACGTTGACTGCTCTCACTTTCCCTGTTCCAAGGGGAGCAAAGGGGCTACGGGCGGGGCGACGGGTCCCGGCTCCCGCAGCGCCACAGCGCCACCTGGTGCGCTGCGTCGGCTCCTGCCCGTGGCACGGAGCGGAGC